GCGGGGTGGGGGTGGGGGTGGGGGGGGGGGGGGGGTGGAGAGACAAGAACTCATGAGGGAACTACACACGACTGAGGCTGTTAGGGTCAACATAAATGGCATATCATATCACATACCATTGAAGATACTGAAATAATATCATTCAATGAAAGTGAAAGAGTGTGTCGCAGACTCTGTCCCATGCAGAGGCAATGCATTTAAACCACAAAACTGCTGCCAAAATTTATTATAAAGCTGTTTGAGAGACGGATGACATATTATGTGGACGCGATAACCTCTCCAAAGAGAACAGTCAGGAAAAAAAAAATCCAGTACACGTTATACCCTGTTCTTGAAGCAGGTGTCTTAATGCATAATATGGAACACACCATTCAAAAACATACACCAAAAGTACGCCAAAGTTGTAGCGTGTACTTTTCGCACTAGCCTTGTGACCTGGCACTCAAGATTTCACTCGGGTTGAGGCGGTTCAGATGAAAAGTCCAGGCTTTTGCTCGACTTTGGCACAGAAGGTGTGGACCTGAAAAGGACAACAATGAGACTGTTATAATTGTGTTAACATCTCCAATGACTAACTTTTACTTTTCCGATCCAGCCGCCATTTGGGTTCTCGCCCTTCGGTCTGTCGATATGGCAAAGAATTGACAGGTTTTAATCAGCTGTGCTTTGTCGCTGTATAGAGTGTTTCCGATGTCTGGGGAGGCAGGTAGGTAGGTGCTACGCAAGTCACAAAGTGCTGGGCAGTTAAAGTTAAAGAGGTGGTGTGGTACTGTTTCATCCTGGCAGTCGCACAACGGGCAGTCGGGTGGGGTATCCTTGCGGATCCTATTTAGGTAGGAATTTAGTGGTATGTGTTGTGTTCGCAGGCGAAATATTGTGACTTGTTCTCTTCTACTCAGGGAATTTATTGCATCTTTAGAGTTGGGGGCTGTCATGTGTGTAAATACAGTTCTTCCAGTTTTGCCCATTGCCCATCCATTCAGCCACTGTTCCCTGGTGTTGCATTTGATGATGTTCTTGGCTGTCTGTTGTGATACTGGGTTGTGTGGTTGTGTTTGTGATGCTCCCTTCTTGGCAAGGGTGTCTGCTCTGTCGACTCCAATGACACAATTTGTATAATTTAGGCAGTAAGTTCTTTGACCCTGCCCATCTGGGCCAACTTGAGCCGAGTGGGACAAAATCCCGGTAAACAAGACAGTGAAATAAGATACATTGTACTTTCCTATTTGGGAATCTTTTTTTTGTTTTAAGTTTTACGGCACTTGCAACACAAACAGATCATACAAATGCAGAAGATTTAGAAATGTTGCAAGAGAGTAACATTCACAAAGAAAAGAAGGGAGGAGAGATAAGGACAATAGACGAACAGGTTCAGGTGAACCCATGCTCTGTGTAAACACACGCTTAGGACGTCTCTACAGCAATGTGCGTTTAGGCAGAGTCTACTAGATAAGTATTTTTTGTTTTGTTTTAGTAGAGGTTTAACGGCGCTCGCAACTGCATAAGGTCATTTGAGCGCCAAGGGGTGGATGTCAACAGAGAAGTCTTTACAGGGAATCAGACTTACTCTGCTCACCTCTCCAGCTTCAACAACACAAAGTCTGCTTTGACTATCAAGGCATCCCGGAAATAGCGGGTCACAAGAGTGTGACAAACATACAAAAGAAGTAGAGGAAAATGACGATAGTAAGGATTAGGAAAAAAAAAAGCAGCAGTTCCCTGCTGTAGTTCAAGCACAGTTATGAGCATGACATTATTGGATCAGCCCATTTACAATTCTACTGTGCATTAGAACGAGAAATGTTCCCCCTTTGGGAATGGCCTAAAGACACTTCAGTCAGTGGCACCGCCCAGTGACCTTTGAATGAGAGGAGAACATCTTAACCTCTAGGCCACGAAAGCCCCCTTGCGTAGTTTCAAAACAGTCACACATGCAAAGAATTTCAAATGTCCATGTGAATATAAATGTGAAAGAAAGGCGGCAGTCCATATGACTATGTGCAAGAAAGTCAGTGGTCCTTAACATTCTTTTGTGACCTTTGTTGTTCCTTTCTGAGGTATTCAACTGGTCTGTTTGATGTACTTACAGAGGCGCCATATCGTCCAAGTTGAGCTTTTTCTTTGCTGACATGCTTCCTCGGGCCATCATTGTTGCATTTATGTGCTTCAGCTTTTCCGACTGAAACAAAGGAGAAAAGTAAGTTTCAACTGGAAAGAAACAAACCGACATAACAGCTTTTCAGCTGACTTTAGTTTGATAGAGGTTTAAGAGTATCTGCAACACTTTTCTTACATGTAAATGCCAAAGATTAGTTACAAGGGAGTAACAAACATAAAAAAGGAGGGTAGCATGGGACAGCAGTTAACAGTGATAGAAAAAGCAACCCGCAACACAGTGCCCACCAACTGCCTACTCAGTTGACTAAGAAGCTAGAAGAAGAAAAAAAAAAGACAAAAGAAAAAAAATATTTAAACATTCATCATCAATGACACATTTATGACCAAACATGTCCCCAAGGCAGGAAAATCAACAATGACAACAATAGTAGATCTTAAACTGAGAACTCGCTGACTCATCGGTAGCAACAACGAAATTACTAGGTCTATAACTGAGAACTCACAGAGCTGTTAGCAGCAATAACAAAATTTGAGGCATTGTGGTGAAATCAGGAGCTCATCAAAATGATGAAATCAAAGAATGTTTTTTTTTGCTACAACTTTGATGTCCATTTAAAAACATTTCCATTTCTGTGTTCATTTTTCTAAAAACCATTCATTAAAGTCACAAAAAATGTAAATATTCAGTTTCCAAGGACTCTCAAGCTATGGAAGTCAAATGGCCATTTTCTTGCTAATTTTACTGCTGAAACCAGGGGACTCTCACTTCCTTCAAATAAACAAGCTTTAACATGATACAAATAACTCCACGCGTCAAAAAATTGACAAGCGCCTGATTCCACCGCGTCATGACACATATCAGAACTAAGAACTCACCGAGCCAATCGTGTCACCAAAGCTGTAGAGAAGTCTAGTGGAGGGAGTCATCTGACTAGGTGACGCTGGTGTCTTGAACTCGGAATCTTTCATCGGTGAAACAGTGAACTTTCTCTTCCCTAACAAGCTGAAATATCAAAAAACCGAAAATGTTTTAAAAGGCATTATCATTACAACAGAAAAGCATGTAGTAAACCAATGTCATATACTCAGAGACATTTTATTTCACAAAACACAAAAGCATCCTCTTACAGAATGCAACCAACCCCATTCCCTCAACTACCAAAGATGTAAATGGGCAACTGAGAGGTGAGACGAGCGCTCAGAGCCAGAGGCAATGTCCGTTTTGGTCAAAATGTCCAAAAATATCAAAATTGAGAGGGGGCTCAGTAGCTCAACAGGTAAGCTGTTCACCTGTCAGGACAGCGTTAACCTCTTTGTTGCCTTAGATGTACCTGGTACACCGCTAAAAAATGCATAACTTTTAGCTCTGTGCTGTACCATGACAAGTTGGCAAAAATTTGATATTCCTGGTTGTCTGTAAGACATTACATGTGTGTCCCGTTAATCATCTGGCTCTAATTCTTCTGTGCGCAGGTTTAGCCTCTAGCACTGCATGGATTCATATTTGGGAATAAAAAATGTGTACATCAGCAACAAATTTGCATGTATTAGTTTACTGCTAGGCTTGCAAGAGATTAAAAAAAAACACATACCAAATTTTTTTGGGGTAAGTGTTTTATGGCACAAAAAGTAAACACCACAAAGTGCGGCAGATTTCACTTAAAGACTTAGATTTGCAAGTTTTTAAAATTATGGGCAAGGTGAGGAATATAGAGAACGAGAAAACTGAGGAAAGTTACACTATATAAGACCTGGGGTCTGAATATATCAAGAGCAGACTAGATTTACACAGAGAGTCCACTGATACTGAGACGTGCTGCCTGGTGAAACAAGGTTAACTGAAAAATCAGTGCTGACAACATGAACGCGCAGCCCTGGCAAAGAAGGGGTTAAAATCCCCACCCGCTTCAGTTTTCTACAACCCCTGATCCTAGGATCAGGCACCTATTGCTCTTGGAAAAGGATGAAAGGCTGCCACCTATAACAACACATAGCAGCCTGTCGGGTAAGGGGTGATTCTACGTTCCATGGAGACAAAAGGGCCATGTATGTAGAATCAAGTGCTTTGTGAGATAAAAATCTTACAGTCACTGACTCCGTAAGCCCTAGAAGTAGGAAGAAAAAAAATTGAGGTACTCAAATGAGGTTATATGTCATGTCTGTAAATATCAAACCAATCTAGTAGTAGTAGTAGTATAGGGTTTTACGGCGCCCGCAACTGCTAAGGTCATATGAGCGCGTGAAACACAAGCCGTTTACTTCCGCAAAAGTTCGCTGCACGATTGGTTAACTAATTGATTCTAAAATGCTAAAATGTTTGGCCAAAATTGAAATTTCTAGCATCTAGATCTATGTCCAAGCGTGGCCAATTAACATCTTGCCATAATCATCAATTTTTCTCAAAACTAGCTATTTAGACGTAGTCACCTGAAGCCTTCAGCAGAGCAGATATCAGTTGGTAGATTGGAGTAAAGTGAGGCACATTGACACATTCACAACAATTTATAGCAAGGAAAGAGTCAAGACAGGCAAACGCAAACAAAAGGATGAAATTTTTTTTTAAAAGTAGGACCTACACATACCGGTGGTGTTTCCAACCATCCACCAATGACCATTTACTGCAGGGAAAGGCGAGACAGATCGACGAAAACAATAAGGGGACAAAAAATCGCTAAAAAAAAAAAAAACCAGCACAAGAGAAGAAATAAAACACGTTACATTGCCATAAAAATGTACCTGTGTCTCGGGGACGCCTGAGCATGCTTTGGCAGAGGAGACAGCTGTGGAGTCTGTGGATAAATAAAGGACATGAAAGGTGGGGTTTTTTATAGCTTTTTTGTAAGAGTTTTACGGCATTTGCAACACAATTAGGTCATATAAGAACCGAAGATTAGAGGTGTTACAAGGGAGTAACAAACACAAAAAAGGAGGGGGAAAAAAGACGATAGACGTTTGATAGGAAAGAAGGAGCAAACCGCACCAGAGCACCCGCCAACCACCCACTTTTTAAAGTTTTATTAAGAGTTTTACAACACTTGCAACATAAAAAGGTCATATAAGTGCCAAAGATTAGGTGTTACAAGAGAGTTTTGTTTGTTTGTTTTGGTAAAGTGTTTTACGGCGCTCGCAACTGCATAAGGTCATATGAGCGCGCGGGACACACCTAATATTTTCAGCTGGTAGGAAATTTTGAATTTTGCGCGGGTGGTGGCCGAAGCCTACTCTTATCGATTTTAGACCACCAAGGGATCTTTAACGTGCGCAACTTGCACACGGGCCCTCCAAGATTTTTTTCACCCTTGTCCGAGAAGGCTAGGTGTAGATCTTTCCTAAAAGAAGATCAGGGGTGTGGCTGAAAGACAACAGTAAGAAGAAGTGAAGGAGTAGTATTAGAAAGGCTGCAGAAAGAATCAGGAGCCCAAAGGAAGGGGCAAGGGAGGTGTGGGGGTGGGGGCAGAAGGAGGAGACGAAAGCAGACGACAGAACATTGCTAGAGAGCAGGAAATGAGGTGAAAGGAGACAAATTTAGAGAAGAAAATTTTTCGGTTGCTACCCGGATTCGAACCCGGGAACTTTTGAGTGAGAGGCCAACACCTTAACCTCTAGGCCACGAGAGACCCCTTGGTTTCTTCAATTTCATTATTTTGTCGAGCGCCTGATTTCACCACGGTGCCACAAAATTGTGTCGACAATACCACGCAGGTACCA